TCCCCCCTCCCATCCAAATCACACAGTGTTTCGCTGCAAGCAGGGGGCCACGCTGTGGGTGAGAGGCTGCTGTGCCTCTGTAGTAGCTGGGGGAAGGATCCTAGGAGTGGGGCTGCAGGGACTGGGAGAGGGACTGTTCCTGCTGGGGGGGGCCTCCTTGTAACATGCTCCGCTTCCTTCCAGGACAGCGACTGGGTGGTGGTGAAGGAGCCCATCATCAAGCTGGCTGCTATAGACAATGGTTTGGCCTTTCCCTTGAAACACCCGGACTCCTGGAGAGCATGTGAGTCCCTCAGGCTGTGCCAGGGCACCCTGGTAAGCCATGCAACTCCACTCTTGGGCATCCTCCGCAGGGGCTGGAGAGGAGAGGGCTAAGGCTGTCCCTCTGCAGACCTTCTAGGTTCATGGGCAGCTCCACCTCAGCAGAGGCTGCAGGAAGATCAGGTGCTGGACCCAGTGTCCCAGACACAGGTGGTCTGGCACCCAGGGGCATGTGGCACCATCCTGTGCCTTCCCCAGCTCTAATCTCTCCTGCTTCCTCCCACAGATCCATTCTACTGGGCATGGCTGCCCCAGGCCAAAATCCCCTTTTCACAGGAGATCAAGGACCTGATTCTTCCCAAGATCTCGGACCCCAACTTCGTCAAGGACCTGGAGGAAGATCTGTATGAGCTCTTTAAGGTAGAGCTGGGGGAGTGGGTGAGGATGGCTTGGGAGGAAGAAAAGCCGGGGTGGTGTTTGGGAGGTCCCTGTCAAGGCTGCAGGGCACAGAAAGGTGTCCAAGCTCCTGATGGTGTTTCTGGGCTGAGGCATAGCAGGGTTGTCCCTCTTCCAGTACCTGGAGGTTCAGTCTGGGGAGAAGCAGAAAACCGGTGGGATGGGGGAGAGGGGCTTGCTTGGAGAACAGATGTCTCTTGCATGGCTTGGGGCAGTGGGTGGATCCCACTGTATTCTCTGCTATGTCTCTTGCAGAAAGACCCTGGCTTTGACAGGGGACAGTTTCACAAGCAGATTGCTGTCATGAGAGGCCAGGTAAGCTGCGTGTAGGCACGGAGCCTCATCCTGCCCATGTGGCAGGAAGGGTGCTGCGGTGAACGCTCTGTTGCTCCGACGGAGCAGCTCAGGCATTGCTGTCTTGTGCTGTACAGATCCTGAACCTGACTCAGGCACTGAAAGATGGGAAGAGCCCCCTGCACCTGGTTCAGATGCCACCTGTGATTGTGGAAACGGCGCGTTCCCACCAGCGCACTGCCAGCGAGTCCTACACGCAGAGCTTCCAGAGCCGGAAGCCTTTCTTCTCATGGTGGTAGCTGTGGGAGCCGCAGGCAGGGCTCAGCTGCCTCGGACTAGCACTGCGAGAGTTGCTGGGGCACCACCG